CGAATACTTTCGACGAGATATTGATTTGAAATGTCACGTGACGTCACTTCTATGTGCATTTTATACATAGAAATGTCGTTTTAGCCCCCACTCTTAAACTTTGATTCGTTTTATCAAAGTATTGTTTTATTATACAAAAAAAAATACGTGTCTAATAATTTTTCATTAGCTAACTTACGGACTGATTAGATTTTTAATTTTCATACCCTGTCATCATCCCAATTATATTTTTAAAATGTAAGATACTAAAACCTATTTGCTCTTGTGTCTGGAGGGGTACCCATAAGTTGAGTAAACAATTGAGTACATTTGTCTATACTTGATAGGATGACGATGATATACGTTTTGCCACCATCTTGCTTGGTGTGGTAAGCGATGATTCTGAAACGTCACTCAAGTCGCATTGATATATAGTTCTATCACTACAAATTGTAGTTGTGAAATGACAGAGATACCACGATATTAAAGCATACTGTAACCAATACACAGCGCCATCTAGTATAATTTATCCAAAACAACCACGACTACATACAACTATTATGAAGATTGAGCACACATACAAACCATCCGCCTTTATAAGCAGTGTTGTCTTCGAACAAATCATCATTCTACAAGGTAGAGGATCAGAGTTCAGTAGCCTTCTCTTCGGTAGCCTAGCAGCCTTCTCTGAACTAAGTACGACTAACTCCAGTACGATAGCCTAGCGGTGTTCTGGATTTAGCCAGCCAGGGGAGGTCTGAAAGACGATAGCCACACAGTTCCTTTCATCCCTACACTTAGGGTTGCAACTATCTAACTATCTTAATTAGTTTATATAGTAAATTTATGTAACAGTGAAGTTGCCAATAAATAAATAATCATCAAGAACTACGGGGCTTTAATTTCACAACCAGCAACCCTACATTACTTAAAATTTAGTACCCTATCAGTATTCGTAAACTCTATCATATAGCTAATTAATAATCATTATGCATTTGCAGGTTGAATTTTATTTTAGGTACATGACTTTTTAATTCCATGTCAAAGGATGAAACTCAGCAATTATGACTATAAAAACAAACACGATTTACGAATCCAAAATAAATATATTAGTTACAATAACAACAAATCGACAAATCCAAACAGAGCGAAAAATATCGATACAGCACATCTGTACCCAATTTCAATAAATCAATACTTTAAACCGAATACTTTTAATATATCAATTTTGAAATAAAATTCCCGTTTCTATTCGGATATTCCACCATAGAATGTTCGAGAATTGTCGACGAGAGCGGTTGTAAAATGTTATGTGCGCACAAATTGTCCATTTCGATCTCCACACAGCTAAATGGAACGATTGAATAAAAGAACAAATGACGATTTATCTTCTATTCCGTTCACAATTAATGAAGCGTGAGTTTTCAAAGTAAACTGTATGATTTTATTTGTAGTTTTGTCCCGTTTTATTATACAGTGATTTGCGGTTTTTGGGGATTTTTAACTGGGTTGGGTTTTGTTCTACGCTTTACGTTGACTTTGCTCTTAAATTGTTATCTTATGTTATGATGATTATAATCACGTCGTCAAACATATTTAAAAAACCCATTAATACTATGCCCGACCCGGGAAACGAACCCGAGACCCCTTGCCCGGCAGTCGCACTTACGTCCACTCGGCCAACGAGGCAGTCAAACAAACAAACAAAAAAAATCAAATTTTTCCTCTTTATACTATTATTATAAGTGCAGATTAGATTAGAATAGAATGCCGCGTGTCTGCCTCGTTGGCCGAGTGGTCGTAACTGCGACTGCCGGGCAAGGGGTCTCGGGGTTCGATTCCCGAGTCGGGCAAAGTATTACTGGGTTTTTCAAAAGCTCAGTAATAGCACGGAGTCTGGAAACGTGCCCGGTATATGGCAATAGGCTCACCCCCTATTACATGGAACCCATAACATAAATAGTGAAACGTGGGTGTTACAATGTAGTGGTATAATGTGCACCTCTGCCTACCCCTTCGGGAATAAAAGGCGTGATGTTATGTTATCATGTTATGATTAGATTAGAATAGAATATTGCAACATAACTTTTATAACATATAAAATTGGACCCCAGTTTTATCCACCGTCAGATTCCTTACGGCCGTTACCTCAGCATACTGACAAAGGACAACGCAGCCCTACCCCTGTCTCACTCACGACAAGAGAGAAAAAAATCTAAGTAATAGAACATTTGGAAGGAAAAAAACTGAAGGAAAATTTCTCCTTGTATTTCAGGTCAATTCAATTTGTAAGTGATTGTAGTCGTCTGTTCTCAGGGCCCTTGTTTGAGACAAAAGAAATAAAGCGATTCATATAATATGTAGTTATAAGGTCTTTGGAAATATAATGCTGTTTTGTATTATCGAATGTTTATTACAGAAATTGAATCAGGATTTGAACTGTTTAGGGTATAATTTCAAAGGATGTCTTTATTGTGTTTTGTTAGTAAATATTACAATAATATAGCTTGACATTTTCAGTAGATAGGATAAGTAGAGGTGCCTAAAGGACCATTTTTGATATCCTATTAGTTTATAACAGTGTGCAGTGGTATCTATAAATCGAGTGTGAAGTTATTAACTCAACCCAATAATATTTTTCAAATCAATAAATTTTTTTTATGGGGTAGCCGATAAACGAGTAGACAGACCACCTTGTAGTAAGCAATTGGCATCGCCCATAGATACTTGGAACACCAGAGACGTTAGAAGTGCGTTACCGGCCTTTTGGGGATTAGGAATTTGAGGATTCGGAGACTGTGGAGATTGGAGCAATTAGGTAATTAATTGGGCCTCCGGTAAGAGGTGAGTGAGGACTCACAAGACAATACACATCGCAAGCGGTTGTTTCACGTCGGTTTTCTGTGAGGCCGTGGTATCACTTCGGTCGAGCCGGCCCATTCGTGCCGAAGCATGGCTTCCCCACACTTACAAATGCTCTCAAAATACCATAATATAATGAATTTCACCTTAGCGGTCGGTTTACAAACATTATGATTAGTTTTTCAAACTTAAAGTTTTCCAAATATTTTCATGTCCAATGTTTGGCAGTTACTAAAGAACAATGTTTGAACAAATATTTCCCGTGTGCTAGTTTAGTTTCAACGTATTTACTTTGTGAGAGCAAGCCGGTACACAGAGTTAATAACTTTACACATTTTGTTACTCATGTACCTACACTGTACAGTAAGGTATGTACATACATTGAAATACTTATTAGAAACATAGCTACGTATGTACAGGTGCGGTGAATAAATTGTTTTACTTGGGCCTGTAAACCAAAATACTTTGAGTGATTGACAGCACGGTTGGTGCGGTGGCTGAGCAACCAGCTAAGACGCAACGTGTCGCGGCTTCGATTACCCCACGGAACAACTCTTTGTGTGGTCCACAAATTGTTCTAGTTCTGGGTGTCATGTGTATGTCAATATGTTTATAAACGCACCCACACGGCATAGGAGAAAATATTAGTGTGAGGCAACGTTGAAAAAAAATGGGACCAGGAGTTCCGAAGACTAGCGCGTTCAAACAAACAAACAAACAAACAAACAAACAAACAGACAAACTCTTCAGCGTTATGTAATAAAAAGTTTAAGATTGAAGCAAATTGGGTATTAGGTACATTGGTAACGTGCACCGCTGGTTTCCCCTCCGAAAATCAAGTCATGTCGATATTTTTACAGAGAAAAATCCATGCATATGACGTCAAAGAAAAATATTTCCCTTTCCATGTAAGGAATTTGAAAGATAAAGCGGAATTAAATTGTTATCGTCGTCCGTCGCCGAGGGCTCGCATCCGGCATTCCTCCCTCTGACCTCTCTTTCTGTCCGGCTCTTTCTTATTCTCTGTCTTTGTCCACCCCTGTTCTACAGGAAATTGTTTTTGTCTGCATATCCCTCTATCTATTATATTAGATATTAAAATATTGTACCGTCGAAGGAACAAAGTTAAATGACCAGTAAACGATATTTAAGGATAACTATACCATTCTGTATTATTACCAAACCAAAAAGGAAAAAAGGCATCTATTAACACGTTAACCGCCGCGCCGTGTAGGTTACCGATGACCTACATTAGCCGAAGATTTGCCTTCAACAGTTTTCTGTCGACAGTCAAAGGCTTAAAAAAGCAAAGAAATAATTTTATTGAAATAATGCAGCACTTTATAAAATAAACACTTGTGCTAACGTATGTACTCGCGTAAAAAGTCAACAGAATTATTTTCTCAAACGCGGTACAGTCGCCGACAACCTTGTTACGTTGAATAATTACTTTAATGCGGTACATTATTAACCTTTTCTACGGAACGAGGAACGAGGCTGAACAAGGCACACACACAATTTCACCCGTCGTAATAAAAATCTGCTGGCATTTATTTCACCTTACCTGTACTCCGTCGTATGAAATTTTAAAGAAATGAATAAATGTGATATGTTAGCATTTTATGATGCTAAATTATATTAACATGGGACGTGAACAAGTGCAGTAAAATAAAAGCGCTGTTTTAAATATGTTTTAGGTAAATAAATGAAATATTTAACGTATTTAGGTATTTAGGTAAATAA